TAAAGATATAGGAAGATAGTCAATATCACCTAATAAAAAATTCAAATTAAAATAGCATATACTATAGTTCTATTTTTATAAAAATACATATATAAATGAGTGTGTAGATATATATACATGCACATTCATACACACACAAACATATACGAGAGAGAGAAAAAGCTACATATCTAATAGAAGAAGAAACACCAAAAGGATTATCACCAATATGTCAACAGTGATTGTGGAATTATGAGCGATTATTTTCTTTTTCTGTATAATGCTATATTTTCTAAATTTTATTACAATAAACATGTGCTTTTTATTAAAAAAGTAAGTTATTAAAAGTATGATGCCAGGCATGGTGGTTCATGCCTAAATTCCTAGCACTTTGGGAGGCCAAGGCAGGAGGAATGCTTGAGGCCAGGGGTTCGTGTCCCGCCTGGGCAACACAGCAAGTTTCCCCCACAACCCTCCATCTCTACCAAAAAAAAAAAGAAATTAGCTGGGAGTGGTGGCACACACCTGTAGTCCCAGCTACTTGGGAGGCTGAGGCAGGAGGAGCACTTGAGCCCAGGAGTTCCAGACTGCAGTGAACTATGATTGGGCCACTGCACTCCAGCCTGAGCAACAGAGCAAGAGCCTGCCTCCAAAAAAAAAAAAGTGTGATATGGATTTTATGTAATTATATTGCTATAAACAAGTGAACTCGAATAAATTTTAAAGTTCATTCTTTAACTTTGCTTATACTACACTAAAATTATTTAAATAATTTTTATTTAACCAAATAAAAACAAGCTGTGAGAAATAAGTAACTATATAAAAAATTATGTAGAATTTGGGGTAAATTCTTCTTTGGGAGACAATTTCCTTTCAACCTAATAAACAAAGCCATGAATTTTTAAATTCTAAACATTAGTGGACATGAAATTCATTCATTCACTCAGGGGATACTTACCAAGTTTTCACCATATATAAATACCCATCTTCAGTTTTTTGGAGGATGAAAGAATGAGTGATAGCATTTTCCTTATACTTGAGGTGCTTACAGTCTACTTGGCAAGAGATGAAATATTCACAAGTCATCCAGACAACAAAGCCCTAAAATTGGAACAGAGAACAGGGTATTATAGAAAGCAAATGCCAGTGAGGTGAAAGTTATCAAAATTCTACCCCTCCTTTAATGTTCAAAAGGACTTCTTCCTGAAGATGCCTCTTGTTGGGAAGTAATTTCCAAAACTAAGTTATCCTTTCTGCTAGGTGAGCACTCTGGTTAGCATCTATCACAGAGCAACTCTTACTGAGAGTCCAAGTGTCCCCTCTTTGTCCTGACCTTCGTTTCATTCATCTTGGATCTTGAATGAACTTCAAAGTCAAGTTTATTTTATTAATAGGAATTCCAGGCCGTATTCATGTCCTGAAGGAATGAGGAAGAAGAGGTGTGGAGCAGGATAATAACACAGTCCAGATTAACTACTGATGGTGGGTGTGGAAATGTGGAAAGAAGGACTGCCCTCAGCCTACTGATGAATAGCAGCCATCCTCATCCCGTCCCTCCCAAACTGGGGTTTAACACCCCATTCTTCCAATTTTTACCTCTGAGGGGAGGACTGTCAATGAGAATATTTACAGTTGAAGTAACAAAAGCAGCAAGAGATGATGGGGAAATGTGCTAAACTGGGAGCCCAGAGACCTACCCTAGTTCCAGCTAGCCCTGCTCCTAACTTAGCTTCCCTCTGGGCCTCAGCTCCTCATCTGCCAAATGAAGCAGTTTGAACAATATTCAAAGCCTATAGCTCCCTATAAATTAGGAATCACAAGGTTCCTATGATTTTATTTTGGATTTATTCCCCAGTCATGAGTCATCAGTCACTTTCTGACCCTGCAAATACAAATTCCTCCCCACTGATGGAAATTAAAGCACTTAATTCTCTTATGGGTAGGTTGCACTTTCTGAACGATTGTGTACAGTACTGTCTGAGAAGTTGAGGCAAAGGAAATGGCTCCTTAATCCCTCTTGGGATCTAAATGGAAAACAAGACAGGCTATGACATCAGCTGCCATTTCCTCTGTGATCAGACTAAATAATACAAATATCAATATTAAATTATGCGTGCATACTTTTTATTTTTGCCTTTCATGGCAAATCACAGTAAATCCATTGCTCTTAGCCTTTAGTTCAAGGTTACATAGGAAGAACAGGAAGGATGAACACAGAATCACAGCATTTTAGAGCTCCAGGCAACTTTAAAGATTAGACCCTACCTTCTCATCATCTCATTTAGGGGTCTAGGATGTGAAACAGCTCCATCCAATGTTGACTTCCTGAAGCACGTTCTCTCGATTTGCTTCACTTAAACCCACTGTAATTGGACAATACCACCATCTACATGACGAACAAATAAATAAGCACTTTTTTTTAAAAGCCCCAAAAAGGAACCTAATCTCTTTTAATGAGTTTCCTCCATTATAACTAGAGGAGCCATTTGAGGGGAAGAGAGAGTTCAGCAGAATGAACATTTCTGAGTCAGGAACAGTTTACCTTCCTAGACTATATCCAAAACCAATTCTTTATCCCAAGACATAGCAGCTTCGTATTTCTATCTACTACCCTCCTGTATCTCCATAGGTAGGCAAGCACCAGACCTTTCCAAGAGAATTGTTATGAGAATAATGTTGCCGTTTAACAGGCCAGCCATTTGCCACCACATCACCCGCCAGGTAAAAAGGTGCTGCTTTAATTTAGCATTGGATGGATAAAATTCAAATGCTGAAAACCTGTTCTTTTCACCAAGAAACATGATTTTTGGCTAATTTCTCCCCTCTTTGGTTTCTTATGAATCCAGGCAAGTTACTCAAAAGTATCTCGGTAAAAAATAAATTGATAATTCCATGTGAACTGTTTATCTAAACTCAGTCAACTTTAGGGGTTTTAGTTACTAGACATAGTAAGAACTCATTCCTTCCCAGTCTGTTTTGCCTCCCTATTCCGATGGATGAGATATGCCTTATTGTTACATTCTTCCTATCATAGAAAACAGACAGTGGCTGTTTTGATTTCTGACCACATTTGATGATACTTTGACAGCCATACACTCCAGACCAGAAAGTCCTAGTATATTCTTCACAGGACTGTTGTGAGAATTAAATAACACGTACCAAAAATCAGCAGTCCCCAACCTTTTTGGCACCAGGGACCGGTTTCATAGAAGGCAATTTTTCCTTCCATGGGTTGGGGGGAGCTCTGCAGCCAGGTCCTTAACAGGCCACAGACTGCAGTCCTAGATGACACAATTTGAATTAAAAATACACAGATTGTTTTTAAAAATGCATAGACTGTTCAAACTGGGAGCGACTTTCAAGAGCATCTAATCATATGCCCTTCCTTTACAACTAGAGAAATGGAGTTGCAGTGAAATCAGAGATTTGTCCTTCATCACATGGCTAGTTAGTGGCAGTGCCAGATCTAGAGGTCCTGTGTCCAAGTTTCCTGTGCAGGTCCTTTCCACAGCCCCTGCTGTTTTCCAACATCAGCATAGGTTTTCTAAATAGTCTAGAAGGGTTGGCTGGAGACTATTCCTTAGAAATCAGCCCCTCCTATTCCAGAGCTGCCTCTGCTTCTCCACTGCATGAATTATAGATGCAAGAGGTTACTAAAGCTTGAATAAACATGGGTTCCCTTTCTTGCCCCAGTGTCTTACATTCTGTCAATCAGGAAAGTGGGTGACAATGCTTATAGTTATTATCAGTTGCTCCCATAGCAAATTACTATTCTAAATGATCCAAGATCCATCGTTGCTATGTAATGTACAGTCAAGAAAGAACATTCTGGTTTTGATTATGTGCACAATTCAGTCATCTGGTTCATGTGTGAGAATTATATATGGCTAGTTGGCATGTATAACTAGGGGCAGTTATACATGGGGCAGCAGCCTTCTAACTCTGTTTTGATGAGTCTGTGACAGGAAATCTGGTTGCATCGAACCAGATTTGCATCGAACCTTCTGACTCCAGGGATGTCCATCCATGTAGGAACTAACTGTTAAAGACTAACAGAGGAGCAGGAGGGTGCAGGGAGGGGAAAGAGAACTCAATTTGACATTATAATTATCTGTGTTAGAACCCTGGTCCTGCACCTCACTAGCAGAATGACTTTAGATTTTAGTGAGTTTGGTTTCTGAGCCTCCTTCTCATCTGTAAAATGTTGATCAGATTTAAACTCGCTTTATACATCTGTATCACTGGGCCAATATAATAATTTGTAAGGATCAGTTAACTCCAGAAATGAGAATACAGCAAAAATATGGAAAATGTTAAAAACTCTTGTCTCTGGGGTTCCACAGGCCTAACCAGTTATAAAACCCTGCTCTGCCATTTACTAGCTGTGTGACTTTGGACAAGTCTCATCGTCTTCTTTTTGTTTTAACTTATCATAAAATTTCTATCATATAACTTAACATAAAATTTCAAACATACTCAAGAGAGAAAGATTACAATAATTAAATAAAATGTACTAATCACCAGATGAAGTTGTTTTACATATTTTGCTAATATCGTTTCATCACTCTTCCTCAACACTTTTTTCCCCCTGAGGTATTTTAAAGCACATTTGGGCAAGTTGTTGTTTTAAAGATTTCTGTGCTTCAATTTTCTCATCTAGGAAATGAAGATTATAATATCTAATTCATGGGGTACAATTGTATGGAGTAGTCAGTAAAAGTTAGCTATCATTATTTATGATGGTACCTATGTGCATAGTCCCCTCCAGGGCATAAAAGCATTTGGCAGCGTAGCTCCAGGATGGACAAACATTATTAAAGAAACAACGTGGCAGCAGGGTTGTGGATGGAGGGGGCGGGAACCCGAGTCTGCGTCGAGAAGATTGCGGCCGCCCCCTTCAGGCCGCCCTTCTCCAGGTCGGTTCGGTCAGGACGCGGATTGTCTCTCGCAGGCTTCCGTTGCAGCGCGGGGAAACGAGAGGCGGGAACAGGAAGTGGAGTTGGGCTGAGTTCCGGGCGCGAGGCAGCCACTGGCAAGAGCAAAGCGAGGTAGTTGAAAGCTGGGGAGTTAGAGCTGCGATGTTCCGGATCGAAGGCCTCGCGCCGAAGCTGGACCCGGAGGAGATGAAACGGAAGATGCGCGAGGATGTGATCTCCTCCATACGGAACTTCCTCATCTACGTGGCCTTGCTGCGAGTCAGTGAGTGTCCTCCTGGGCTGTGACCCTGAGACCAGCAGGGAGCTAGCCACCACCACCCACCTCGCTGTAGTCCTACAGGCCGTTAGGGGCCTTTGAGGAGCCGAGCTGAGCGGTCGCGGGGGAATAAGGGGCGTGCACGTCGAGAGCTACCGGCGTATGTGTGTGATTTGAGGTCTGCAGGTAGGAGGTACCGAAGTGCACGTGGTGGCCTGGCGAGCGTGTTTAATCATTCTGGCATTCCCAACGTTAAGTGCGTTTGAATTGGAAAAGCTTCAAGGATTATCCCCCTGGGCAACTGCCTGGTTTTGCAGACAGAGAAACAGTACCAGACTAGGGAAATGGCTGGCCCAAGGTCATTCACCCATTCAGTGAATGATCTTGACCTAGAATCCAGAACTCAATACCAGGTTCCATTCCTTCAGTGCTGACCTTTCAAACCGAAACAGCTTTGCTTCATTGCTGTTTCTTTGTATAGAGAGTGAAATAAAAATTGTTTTTCTTTTTTGAAGGAATGAAAAGTATGTGAGGCTATAGGATTAATTCAAATATCTGAGATTTTATCTGATTTTACAGCTGGCAGAAAGTCACCTAGATTACTTGTTCTTTTTTTTTGAGACAGAGTCTCGCTCTGTTGACCGGGCTAGAGTGCCATGGCGTCAGCCTAGCTCACAACAACCTCAAACTCCTGGGCTCAAGCGATCCTCCTGCCTCAGCCTCCCGAGTAGCTGGAACTACAGGCATGCGCCACCATGCCCGGCTAATTTTTTCTATATATTTTTAGTTGTCCAGCTAATTTCTTTCTATTTTTTAGTAGAGACGGGATCTCACTCTTGCTCAGGCTAGTCTTGAACTCCTGACCTTGAGCGATCCTTGAGCCTCGGCCTCCCAGAGTGCTAGGATTACAGGCGTGAGCCACCGCGCCCAGCCAGATTACTTGTTTTTGATAGTGGCGCTTTGAGGGAGGCAGGGCTTAAGATTCTTTATGTTCCTTTTGCAAATGACAACTTATCTTTCAGAAGGAACTTATGCAAGTTCTTACGGTTACATTCACACTGAATATAAGAACTGGAAGCAGCTTTATAGATCAGTTCCCTAATTTATATAAATTTCAGGAGTGACTTGCCCCCGTCTCCTCATTCTCAGTTCAGTAGCCTTTTCATTGTTCCATCCTGTATATTGTTTGTTGGTCTGGATGTTGAAGTAGTGATGGTTCAAGTAAATGAAGGCCATACCAACGTCATCCTACAGAAGGCTCATGTTGGGCCTACGCTAGAGTCACTGATGCCACAGTCCCCCTTCTTGAGTGCCTCTTTCACTGTGGTATTACTTTGCTTCCCCAGGAGAGGGAGCCTTGGAGAACAGAAAACCCCAAATCATCCTCATTGAACAGCTTCTTACAACTCCCAGATTTTTTTGGGGGGTGCAGTGGAGACAGGGTCTCCCTCTGTTGCCCAGGCTAGAGTGCAGTGGTGTCATCATAGCTCACTGCAACCTCAAACTCCTGGGCTGAAGCAATTATCCTGCCTCAGCCTCCTGAGTAGCTGAGACTATTGGCATGCATCACCACATTGGCTAATTTTTCCTTTTTTTTGTAGAAAGGGGGTCTGACTCTTGCTCAGACTGGTCTCAAACTCCTGGCCTTGAGCAATCCTCCCACCTCGGCCTCCTAAAGTGCTAGGATTATAGGTGTGAGCCACGGCACCGCACCCAGCCTGAATTGGTTTATTATCACTTTTAAGTTGAGATATAATGTGTATATTATACAATTGCACACCCATTTAAGGTATACCAGTGGTTTTTAGCATAGTCAGAGTTTTGCAGCCATCACTATAATCAATTTTATGACATTTTTCCCCCTAAAAGAAACACCATACCCGTTATCTGTCACCCTATTCCCCCCCTTTCTCCAGTCCTTGGCAACTATTAATCTATGTTCTCTCTATGGATTTGTCTATTCTGGATGTTCCATTTAAATGGAATTGGAAAATATGTGGCCTTTTGTGTCTGGCTTATTTCAATTAGCGTAATGTTTTCAAGGTTCATCTATGTTGTAGCATATGTTAGAACTTCATTCTTTTTTATGGCGGAATAAGATTTCATTGTATGGATATACTACATTTTGTTTATCCATTCATCGTGTGTTGGATTTTTTTTCCCTGATTAAGAAATAGAAAAGACTAGACGTACTGCTCACTTTATCAGCTACTGACAGATCTCAGTATCTTCAGTTTAATATTAACAAAATGCTGTGTTAGTATGAGTATTGAGAAAGAAGGTCATTCTGACAGCTTTTCTGGCCACAGCACTTTTACACAGGACAATAATATCACTTCTTTAGATCCATATGACAACACTTCTTAGTTTTCTAGACATTTCTATGCACCATCTTATCAGACCCTCATAATAACTGAGGTAAGACTAGCAGATGTAATCTGGAGTGCATAAGTGATATACAGCTAATCAATGAGAAGACCAAAATAGGTGTCCAGCTCTTCTAGTTCCCTAGTTCAGTGTTGTTTTTCCTCTATCCTCTACCTTTTAAATGAGTCTGTAAAGGTGAAAAATGCCCATGTTTTCTGTAGAGTTTTGTTCATTTTATAATTAAAATAAATTACCACGGTAAAGGGTTATCATTTGAAAAAGGATTAGGTTTACACTTGATGGCCCTAAGAGGAGAACCACCTGGAGAAAAGATTTTATATAGTACAAGAATGAAATTTATCACAGTCATAGCTGAGTGACACTGAATGGACTGCCTTGGATGGCAGTGAGCCCCTTTGGCTGGATTGGGCAGGCAGAGATTTGACCATTACTTAGATTTGTTTTAAAAAAATATGTTGGGCTAAATCTGTTCACCCCCCCAATCTTATAATTCTATAATGTAGCCTTGTGGGCTAATAGATTGGAAAGCTAATTTTAGGTTTATTTGTTTTTCTTTCAGCTCCTTTTATCTTAAAGAAATTGGACAGCATATGAAGATTGGACATCACATGTGAATGTATGATATGAAGAACCTGGTTTCAGTTTCTACTCCTATCTGCAAATGAATAGGTCCAGAAAGGTGTAAGAGACTTTGATTGAATGGACATAAAAAATTCTACTCGTTAAGAACAAGTTTGACTCTAGCAACTGACCTTCATAGCTAAAATATAAAACTATTTGGAAAGTATGAAAGACATCTTGTGGTCATGGCGTGCCCTTATGCCTGTGATATTTGGCCTCTCTGAATGTTGGGATGATTGTAAATAATTAATGTCAAACTCCATTTTCAAGAAAGTGTTAATTATAAGGGAACTATGTCTGAAACAGCACTGTCTTATCAGTCATTTCTATTTGCCTTTTTACTTTTGTCTGGCATGTATTTGTGAAGAGTCCCTTATAATTAGTTATGTATGTTTTATGGAAGTCAGCACGCAACCACAATGACATTTAAGCACAGGACCATTAGTTTTTAATAAACAGCAATTTTTAAAAATTGGGTTTCTTATTTTTCTTTTCCTTTATTTTTTGTAGAGACAGGGTCTGGCTATGTTTCCCAGTCTAGTCTTAAACCCCTGGCCTCAAGCAGTCCTCCTGCCTCAGCCTTCCAAAGTGCTAGGATTACAGGTATGAGCCACCATGCCCCAATGGGTTTCTGTTTTTCTTATCCCATTTTTTGCTGCAAACCATCAATCACTGGTGAGACTCTCATGATATTGTGACGATTACAAGCTACACTAAGTTGAGTTCCTCTTATTCTAGACTTGAGAATTTGTCATTTTGATAAAGTGGCATTGTGTTTTATTAACAAGCAGTTTTAGTGAAAGGTGGCATTACTGCTTGATGGTGAGTATAGGAAACACTAAAGGAAAGGAAAAAATGGTGTATTTTTAAGTCAAATAGTTCTCCAGGTTTGTTGGGGAAAGGGGGCAGTCCTTAACCTTCTCCTCAGAGACAGCTACATTCACCTTTTTTTACTTGTCATCTCTTCCTTCCAAGGTACAATGTAGTGTGATTTTTGATTGGATCAGTGTCGTTAGGATTCTAAGTGAGGTTTGTGGTTTTCTTTTCTGGCATGTCTTTTTGTTTTTCCTGGGCTTAGTTTTGTGTGGCCTTTCCACTAAATCAATTAGACTTCTTGCCATTTATCTAAATCTCTCACAGTGCCCAGCTTCCTTAGGTACTCTGTTTCATCTTGACTAAATCTTCCTTGTAGCCTTTTGACTGCCCCAGGCTGGACTGATAGCCTTCTGTGCCTGATGTGTGGCTGTATTGTGGGAACTCCCTTCACCATCATTCTGGGAATTCCTTTTTCTCCTCTCCAATGTTGGATCTTTTGTTTTCTATTACCTTGTCTTCTTGGTTTAGTCTCTTGTTTTGATGGAACCTTTTCTTCAGCAGTGTCCTGAGAAAGGTGGCATAGGAAGCAAATGTTTTTAAGACCTTGCTGGTCTTTTTCTGGGCAGTAATTTGATTGACAGTTGGCTGAATGTAGAGTTCTAGGTTGCAAATCATTTTCCTTCAGTTTTAAGGCTTTGCACCTTTGCCTCTGGCTGTCAGTCATTTCTGATATTTTTGTGGGACTAAAATTTTTCTTCCTGAGAAACACAGATCTTTTGTTCCTAGTATTCTTATATTCCATGATGACATAATTTGGTGTTTGTTTATTTTAATTCACCATGCTCAGTACTTGGTGAACCTGTTTAAACTTGACACTGTGTCCTTTAGTTCTCAGAAATTTTGTAGATTTTTATTGATGATTTCCTTCCCTTATTTTGTGTCACCTCTCTGTAGAATAATAGTACTTTTGATGGTTTCTTTTTCCTCCAGTCTATTTTATCTAAAATTGCTTTTCTCTGTTTTTGTTTCTTTCATATTAGATGTTTTCCTTGGATATCTGGTAATTGTTGGTTGTGTGCTCATATTTAAAAATACGGGATGAGCTAGCTGGTAGTTCATGCCTGTTATCCCCAGACTCAGGAGGCTGAGGCAGGAGAATTGCTTAAGGTTAGGAGCTGCTCAAGGCCAGCCTGGGCAACATAGCAAGACCCTGTCTCTACAAAAAAAAAAAATTAGCCAGGTGTGGTGGCATGCACTACTGAGGAGGCTGAGGTAAGAGGATCACTTGAGCCCAGGAATTCAAGGCTGCTGTGAGCTATGATGCTACTGTACTCCAGCCTGGGCAACAGTGAGACCTTGTCTCTTAAAAAAAAATAGATAAAAAATAAAAATAGGGAACTAACATTGAGTACAGGCTCTGAGTGGGTGGAGCTTGTTGATGTTGAGCTTTGCTAAAGGGCTATCTATTGGGCCATATATTAATAGTTAAGAAAACTTTTATGTCAGTATCTTTAGTTATTTCCTTTTGAGCTGGTGGTTCCTTAAAGAAGAAAGATTTTTTTCAGTCTTCCAAGTGAAGAATGACACCTTGCCACTGTTCTGGGAGTCAAGTGAGGAAAGAGGTCTGTGGTAGGGCCCAGGGCAGAGGGAGGTGTGTATCTCAATATCCATATCCAATATGCATTTACTTACTGAGTCTCTGCATTGTCAGTACAGTATTCCTGCCCAAACTGCCTGGCATCCCACAATCTGGATACTCTATATTTTACCCTTTTCAGAAAATAAACTTCTAATTTAGAGAGTTCATTGGGGAAGAGAAACTGCTTTGCTGTGTCATTGGGGAAGAGAAACTGCTTTGCTGTGTAGAGTTGCAGAGAGTATCTGATTACTTAAACCAATTCAGGTGTCTGCCCCTTTGCCCTTTATTTCCAGAGGCACATGAAACCACCAGTTCCTGGGCCTTTTATGGATTCTGTGATATAAATTGGGTTGTGTGGTGGGGGGGAGTTGTTTGTTTTGCTTTTCCCTCTACTGGTTCAGAATTCAGTTTTCTTGAGTCGACTACATTATTTACTCCTGGTCTGTCTTCTAGCTTCTAACTTTTTGTTCTTTTTTTTTTTTTTTATTTCAGCAAATTATGGGTGTACATACGTTTAGGTTACGTGTGTTGCCCTTGGCCCCCCACCGAAGTCCGTGTTTCAAATATGTCCATCCTTCAGGTAGTGCGCATTGCACTCCTTGTGTATACAAATACCCGGCTTCCTGTTCTCTTGTATACTTTTAGGTATATACCTTAAAACGAAAACTCCTACTATCATTTAATGGCATTTCAGGAGGGAATGAAGTAGATATATGTGCTTAATCCACCATCTTTACCCAGATAGAACCTGTGGTTTTGTTGTTTCATGTTAGTAACTTATATCCATTTCTTACTTAAATAAGGAGGTGTAGTATATAGCACCGTGGTCATGAATACTGGCTCTAAAGACAGGTAGACTTAACTTTGAATCCTGGCTCTAACACATATGAGACCAATGATTTTCAGCAAGGGAAACTCTCTGAATCTCATTTTCAACTGTGAGAATAATAGAAGCATCTGTCTACTTGAAAGTATTGTGAGGATTAAGTGAGAAAATGCAAGTAGAGCAATTGCCACAATTGCTTGAAATTTGATAAGTGTTAGCTATTAATGGTTAGTCTGGTATTAGGTGTTTAGGAGTGATTTGTGCTGGCATTCACTGCATGAATAGATTTTGTTCATATTTCCAGATGCTATGAGATAGCATGCTTATTCTCTAATTATATACAGACTTCAAAATTACCAAACACTTAAACTCATAATCTAAAAACAGCCTTAACCAATGAATATTAATGCCATTTTACAGGTGGAGAGGTTGAAACTCTGAAAGTTTCAGTAGCTAATAGATAGCCGGCGAATGCTTTTTTTTTTTTTTTGAGACAGAGTCTTACTCTGTTGCCCCAGCTAAAGTGCAGTGGTGTCATTATAACTTACTGCAACCTCAGACTCCTGGGCTCAAATGTTCCTCCTGCAATTATTACCCTGGATTCCAGTTCAGGATGGAATAAGAAAATGTGATGGTTCAGTTTTTGTGGCTAGTTTTTTAAAATTCAGACTATAAACTCCACTGGGAGGTTCAATATTGAAATAAACAATTCTGAAATAGTACATAAGAAAATAGTTGGAGATTGTGTGTGTGTGTGAGTGTGAAAAAGAGTTTGTTTGAATATGTAATGTGAAATGGTAAAGAGCCATAGCAAATTTGAGTTTTGTAAACTCTTGAAACAGAGTCATTGAAAGAAATGGGGAAATATGAAAATGTGAAAGAAATGGTGAAAATATTAATTCTCTACCAACAGTAGGAATTTTGCTCCTAAGTTAATGGTACTCCTGCTGCCAGTGCAATATTTTTGTAAAAACTGCTTTATCATTGCTCTTTATAGTTTTTCTGTGATGTAAGTTATAATTGACAGTGTGTTCAATAGTTTACAGGTGGGCAACCTTGGGCCTGCATTGAAGAACAAGTACAGGAACTGGGGCTTTTTCCTCTTCTCCCTCCCTTACTTGAGCTAAGTGTATCTCTTTGTCCATAAGATTCAGGCATCTAACAGTGTTGTGGATAGTAGAGAAAGGAAATCAACTGAACATTTTACTCATTTTACTATAATTTGATTACTTCATAAATTGTACATGTAGCTGAAGTCATCAAAGAAGCCACTAAAGCAGGGGTTGGCAAACTTTCTGTTAAGGGTCAAATGGTAAATATTTTAGGCTTTGCAGGCTCTGTGGTCTCTGCCAACTCTGCAGTTGTCGTGTGAAAGCCAGAGACAATATGTAAGTAAGTGGGTATGGCTATGTCCCAATTAAATTTTATTTATGGAAATAGATGGCTGGCTGAATTTGGCCTACAGGATACCTTACTAAAGTAATGGGCAGAATTTGGCAAAGTGTAAAATGGTCACCAAATCACAGAACTGTTTTATTATTTTATTTTAAAGATGAGATGTTTATAATATTGCAGATCATATAGGGAAAGTGATTCATCATAGAGTCTGGGCTTTAAAAAGCCCCAGAGATTATAAATTCATTCATCAGCGTTATTGAGTTCCTACTATGTGCCAAGCACTGCACTATAAGTTGGGGACATGGACAGGCATGGGACTGCCCTTTTGAGGTCTATAATCTACCATAGGATGTTGGGTGAGTCAGTGTCTAAAAGAACTAATCTTGCTAGAGGTTCAGAAAGAGCTTCCCTGAAGAGATGACACTGAGAGAGACCTGACGGGTTAGTTGAGGTTATTATCTAGGGGGAAAAGGTAGAGAAGGGAGGATCAGGCAAGAATTATGTTGGTCAAGGTGGGGAGTTAAGAGTTCCCAACTTAACATTGGATGCAACATGGGAACTGGATATGAAGGGGAGGTCAAAGTCGTAAATGAACAGACCAGTATTAACTCAGGTATCTGTAGT